ACATCCACCATGTTCATACAATATTTACGATTCCTTAAAGAATTTAATCTTACCTCTTTGATAACTGGATTGCCATAGCCAGCTTTACGGTCGCAGATAAAGTTGATTACTGCTTCCGTCTTATCAGCTTGGCAATTTTCACCACTACCATAGGATAAGGTTAAGTTTTGCTTATCTGTGATGATGCTAAGGTTTTTGTAAGGACCATAGGAAATCTCTTTATCTCCTGAAACTTTGCAGATTCCCTGAAGTTCCGCAGACACTGTCGGATTTCTGAGCAGCTGGTCCGCAGATGTTAATGAGGTAGTTGTCACTTTTCGTCTTGTTACTGGGAACCTACGCAAAATTATAAGTTAGAAACCATTAAAAAGACAATTATTACTTGACAATAAACGTGAAATTATCTTTCTATTTACAGCCGTTTCTAAAATTTGGTAACTTCAGTAAACTTGGTGCCCTTAATCTATTTTGAGTCAAATATTTCCGTTATAATCTATATTTTGAACAGTATGGCCAAACGTATACGGTATTTATTGCGTCATATTATGTAGCCAAAATAAACAAAGTATACAAACAAACTCACATGATTTAGAAAATGTTCCTTGTATTGCCAAACTTACACAATGTAGCCAAAACTTATAGGGTATAGACTAAACTTACACGGTATAGCTAAACTTATATACACGATATAGCCTAAACTTCATGGTATAGCTAAACTTACACGATGTAGCCAACACTTACAGAATTTAGACAAACTTACACAATGTAGCCAAAGATGATAGAGTACAGCTAAACTTACAAGATGTATCCAAAACCTACACGGTATAGCTAAACTTACACGATGTAGCTAAAACTTACAGGATATAGCTAAACTTACACGATGTAGCTAAAACTTACAGGATAGAGCTAAACTTACACGATGTAGCCAAAACTTACAGGCTATAGATAAACTTACAGAGTGTATCCAAACTTACACGATGTAAACAAGGGTATAAACATCCTCACATAATTTAGATATAACATCACAAACAGTATGACCAAACTTCCAACGTATAGCTAAATTTACACGATGTAGCCAAAACTTACAGGCTATAGATAAACTTACAGAGTGTATCCAAACTAACACGATGTAAACAAGGGTATAAACAAACTCATATGATTTAGATATAACATCACAAACAGTATGACCAAACCTCCAATGTATAACTAAATTTACACGATAGGGATAGCAAAACTCGCACGGTATTGATAAATAAACTCATACTGTAGAAATAAACATACATGAGGTACAGAAGAGACTTCATTGAAGAGCAGAAATGCACTTATTATATCAAAAACCTATATACGTTTCATCTTTCAAGAATTCTAAAAACTTGGGAGACATATATGAGTGTTGGGTTTTTCACTTGCTTCTTTCAATGCTATACACCCATGTACCTACACGAAATAAGAAAATATGTATACTGTATTTTGGTCTTGCTTCTCTCTCTCTGTAAAGAAATCCACAAAAAATTGGAAGAAATATATAAGTTGGATTTTTCTCTGGCTTACATCAATGCTATATGCAGATTTTGGATGAGGGTTCGCTTCTCTAATTTCTCAAATACTTGTAGGGAACAATATATCCTGATTATTTAACGTTTTCACTATTGAAATATCATGTCCTATTGAGATGAATGCCTCAAAATTGAAGTACTAAGGTTCAATGCGCGCGCGAGGCTTAAAGTGGATTGTGGGGTGGAATTTCTGTTTATATAATCTCTGAATAATTGTTGAATGCAATTCTGAATATCCCCTTAAATAGATAAAAAGAGTTATTAATTGAGAGGGCTTGGCTTATCAGTGGTAAACCCTCTCAGAGGTTTCGCCAAATTAATCTCCAGACCGTTTTACTCTTGTATATTGATATGATCTTCATATATCCCTTGCATTTACTAAGGAAGGCGAGTTAGAGTGTTTAGGTAATCTATGGACATAAGTTTATTGAATTGTATGCATATATATGATGTATGCATGTAAAGATGTATGCATATATATAGAGAGAGAGAGTTGCAAAAATTTCTAATACACATTCTCATATTATTTATCCCAAATTTTATCAATATTTATTTATGTTGAGAAAAATGCTCGCAGAGATTTCATACTTTGAGTTAAATTAATAATATGGCCTATTTTGGATTTGATTATAAGCAGCACAGAAGCGCGTAGCTGACTTGTGGAATGTTTGAAAAAGATAAGCAACCAGTCAGGAAATATCGCGTTTAATTTGCTTTAAACACACCTCTCAATAAAATCCAAAATATGTCATATTATTTATATTTAGCTAGGTAGTGTATACTTGGATTAAAAGGCAGTGTTGTTAACTAGCCCATCATGATTATAATGGCCACTACCTAATGTCTACTTGAAACAAATAAAAAAAATTGAAAATATTAGTTTGTATTGGACTGCTAAAAACCAGATTTGAAATTTCTATAAAATACTTGTATATTTAGTGTACTGTTGAATTTAAATTCTCAAAATGAATATTGAGAAAATGGTTACGTTTCGAAAAAAAGGAAATTCTAATTTCTTGTAATATTAGATAAACCTTTTGAATAATTCAGGATAAATTTTAAGAAAGAGAGATTGAGAATATGGAATGAGTGGTAAAACGATGCACTCGTTCATATTTCGAACGTGATGAACATTCTTTTTGATGTTCTAAGACTGATTTTCTTATTTTTTATTCCACAAGTCAATCATTTATCAAAAAACATCGCATCAAATTATGGATATAATAAGAACAATTCATATGGATTTCCCATATCCTATTAATATTTATCATATTAGTTTACTGAATAAATGTATTCCACAAATTGAATTTATTATTATATCGAGAAATTTTCAGTTATAAAATAGAAATTAGGTTTCCTGGGTCACGCAGCTCCAACAATGGCCGGCACTTTAGATAAAATATTTTTACTCTAGGTAGGATGTCTAGGAGCCTGGCAGAGCTGATTTAATCGGACTCGGCCGAGTAATGCCTAAAGGGCGGAGGCTGATTCGAGCGACCCGATGTCGGAGCTCTGTTAGAAGAGTGGTAATAGGCCTACTGGGGAACCCGCCACTATAAACAAAGGGTAACGCGCCAACGGCAGTACCTCCTGGGTGGTGTGGAAATTATGCCTAAAATAATAAAAGAAATGATAAATAAATACATATAAATGAATAAACTTCAATAAAATTAAAGAGTCTAAAAGTATATAATGAATATTTATTTCGTTTATATAAAATATGTTGCTAGATATTAAAGATCACCATTTTGGAATCAAACCTTTCAATCAATTCACCACCACTCTCTTTTCTTGTATTTCTCTTGATATAAAAACTGCTCTACAATTTGATTTTCCAAGTTGGGAGATGTCCGAGCATAGTGAGATAATCAAATCTCTTCAGATTTCACCAGTCGTGAGGAAGCGTGTCCTAGCACAGGATTGTGATTTTATAGAAAACTTTTGCTAAAGCCAAAAGTTAGGTCTCAGTGTGGATGAGCATATTATTTGGCTTGTAAATAAAACAATGTATTTCAGATAAGAGAATATGTTCTATTAAGCTGATTATCTTAAAATTGAAGTACACCTATCCCCCGATTTACACGGTACTTGTTTTACACGTTTTCGCTTTTACACGGTTTTCCAAATAAGTTTTTTTTTGTTTTTATCGCACTATACTAAATGCTACTGTGATTGAACACATGCGCTGTGTACACATCTCACGAGGAATCCCGAGCTTATGTGCTGACTACATATTTTAACCTGTCAATGCATTTTATTTTTATTTCTGTGTACACCTATCCCCCGATTTACACGTTTTTCTCAGGAACGTATCTACCGTGTAAATCGGGGGATAGGTGTACTAAGCTTCAATGCGCGCGCGAGGTTTAAAGTGGATTGTGATTTAAAATTTCTTTTCACATAATCCCTGAATAATTTTCAAATGTGCAATTTTGAAATTCCTTAAATAGAGAATAGAGTTATTGAATGAGAGGGCTTGGCTTATCAGTGGTAAACCCTCTCAGTGGTTTCATCAAATTAATCTCCAGACTGTTTTACTATCGTATTGACATGATCTTCATATATCCCTTGCATTTACTAAGGAAGACGAGTTAGAGTGTTTAGGGAATCTATGAACATAAGTTTATAGAATTGTAGAGATGTATGCATATAGTTGAAAATATTTCTAATACGCATTCTCAAAATAATTTATCCCAAATTTTATCGATATTTATTTATGTTGATAAAAATTCTCGTAGTGATTTCATACTTTAAGTTGAACTTATAACATGGATTATTTTGGATTTGATTGATTATAAGCAGCACAGAGGCGCGTAGCTGACTTGTGGAGTGTTTGAAAAAGATAAAAACCAGTCAGGAAATATCGCGTTTAATTTGCTTTAAACACACCTTCTCAATAAAATCCAAAATATATCATATTAGTTATATTTAGCTAGGTAGTGTATACTTGGATTAAAATGCAGTGTTGTTAACTACCCACTATGATTTTAATAGCCACTACCTAATGTCTACTTGAAACAAACAAAAAAATATAATTAAAAATATTAGTGTGTATTGGACTGCAATAAAATAAATCTTTGAAAATTATATAAAACTAGACGAATGACCCGGGCAACGCCCGGGTTTACCCGATTAAATGTTTTATTCAAACACTATTCGTTACAATTATAAATTGGCGCCGTGGATGTCACTCTTGTGAAACGTCCCGCTCCAAACTTTACAGTCAGATTAGTTACGATATAAATCTTCAAATCGAGCGAGCGTCTATAAATATTTCGATTTAGATCAAGTATTCTAATTAGTAAGCGAACTATTATTAATAAAATTTTGAAAATATTCCGATTTTAAACGTATTTATAACCTTGATAGAGGGCGCTGTTCGTGAGCTAAGTAGAATAATTTGAATATATAGTTTTAATATTTAATTTATGAACGGAAAAATATGTCCAGGGTAGCCTAGTGGTCATGGCATCTGCCCGGTAAGCGGAAGGTCGTGGGTTCGATTCCCATCCCTTCGACGCTTTTTTAATTTTATCCATTCTGACCAAAATCTATCCATGAACTTCACACAGTGAACTTCACACAGACAGAATAAGGCAATTATATAAGTAGATTAATAATAATAATAATTATCATTAGATAATGATAATGATCATAATGATGATGCGCGCGTTGATGACCAAATTCTATCCGTGAACTTCACACAGACAGAATAAGGCAATTATATAAGTAGATACTTGTATATTTAGTGTACTGTTTAATTTAAATTCTCAAAATGAATATTCAGAAAATGGTTACTTTAAAAAAAAATGGAAATTCTAATTTCTATTAATATTAGATAAACCTTTTGAATAATGCAAGATAAATGTTATGAAATAGAGCTTGAGAATATGGAATGAGTGGTAAAACGATGCACTCGTTCATATTTTGAACGTGTTGAAAATTCTTGTTGATGTTCTAAGGCTGATTTTCTTTTTTTTTTTTTTATTCCACAGGTCAATCATCTATCAAAAAACATTGCATCAAATTATGGATATAATAAGAAGAATTCATAAGAATTTCCCATCTTCTATTAATATTTCTCAAATTAGTTTAATGAATAAATGTATTCCACAAATTAAATTTATTATTATATTGAGAAATTTTCAGTTATAAAATAGAAATTAGGTTTCCTGCGTCACCTAGCTCCAACAATGGGCACTTTAGATAAAATATTTTTACTCTAGGTAGGATGTCTAGGAGCCTGGCAGAGGCTGATTTAATCGGACTCGCCGAGTAATGCCTAAAGGGCGGAGGCTGATTCGAGCGACCCGATGTTGGAGCTCTGTTAGAAGAGTGGTAATAGGCCTACTGGGGAACCCGCCACTATAAACAAAGGGTAACGCGCCAACGGCAGTACCTCCTGGGTGGTGTGGAAATTATGCCTAAAATAATGAAATAAATGATAAATAAATACACACAAATGAATAAACTTCAATAAAATTAAAAAGGTCTACAAAGTTTATAATGAATATTTATTTTTTATCTATAAAATATGTTCCTAATCATTAAAGATCACCAATGTGGAAACAAACTTTTTCAGTAGTTGACCAACACTTCTTGTATTTCTCTTGATATAAAAAAAAATAGAGCCGATTTAATAAAATGAAAGAAGACAAGTTTCTTTAATCATTTAACGACGCAAGCTTTCGGGCAAAAACCCTTCAATAGGCAAGCTAAAGCATAAAAAGTGTCTTATTTATGCTTTAGCTTGCCTGTTGAAGGGTTTTTGCCCGAAAGCTTGCGTCGTTAAATAATTAAAGAAACTTGTCTTCTTTCATTTTATTAAATCTCTACATATCTTACTAAGAAGAATCTTCTATATCTAATTAAAAAATCCTCTACAATATCAATTTCCAAGTTTGGAGATTTCCGATAGTGAGATAATCAAATCTCTTCAGATTTCACTAGTCTTGAGGAAGCGTGTCCTAACACTGGATTGTGATTCTATAGAAAACGTTTGATGAAGCCAACAGTTAGGTTCTCAGTGTGGATGAGCATATTATTGTATCTCAAATAAAACAATGTTTTTCAAAAAAGAGAGGCGTCTCTTTAAACAAAATTATTGTTATTTCAATATTTCAGGGATCAGCAGAATATAAGCTGTATATAATAACTGTATGTAATTAACTCTAACAGCTTTGTCATTTGAGAATTTATTGCTTTGAGAAAGGTCGAGTGTTTCTCGTTGAAATATTGAAACAAATATAATTTTGTAAAGCGTGTGTTTTAAGTTCTTATATTGAAAATTTTGATTTTTATGGATTGAAATTTTTTTTAAAAATAAGCAATGCATATCCATCTGTAGGTCCTCGGACTCACGTGCTCATTCAATGGCATTAGAAGCGGGAAAGCGATGAACTCTCTCTCTTTCTTATAATTTTACGTATTTATTTTTGATGTAAACTGTGGATTAAAAAATGGGTTATTTGAGAAAACTGGTGAAGAATGAACTAAAAGTGAATATTAGACAAAGAAAATGTATTAAGTATATTTCATAAAGAACAATATAGTGTCAAAGTGTCGTGATAAGTGCCGTGTGTCAAGAAATAATAAGTATCCAGCGCCAACATGTCAGGATGGACAATAACATTGCCATTATATGATATGACCAAAATCCAAGGCATAGACTATGTCGAATAAAAAAGCTTACGAGAAATGGCCGAACTTACACGATATGGCCAAAATTACAAGGCATAGACAAAATCGAATACAAGTCTACAAGAAGTGGTTGTACTTACACGATATGGTAAAACTTACAGAACATAGATAATGGTGAATACAAGTTTACAAGAAATGGCCGTACTTACACGATATAGTCATATTACAAGGCATAGACAATATCGAAAACAAGTCTACAAGAAGTGGTCATACTTACACGATATAGCTAAATCACAAAGCATAGACAATGGCGAATACAAGTCTATAATAAATGACCGTTCTTACACGATATGATAAAACTTACAAGGTATATATAGTGGTGAATAAAAGCTTACAAGAAATGGCCTTTATTACACGATATAACCATATTTATAAGGCATAGACAATGGTGAATACAAGTCTACAAGAAGTGGCCATACTTAGACGATAGACAAAGGTAAATACAAGTTTATAAGAAATTGCCATTATTACTCGATATGACCAAAAGTACAAGGCATAAGACAATGGTAAATTGGCCGTACGTACACGATATTGCTAAACTTACAATGCATAATAGAAGGGTGAATACAAGTCTACATGAAATGGCCGCAATTACATGATATGTCAAAATTACAAGGCATAGACAAGAGTGAATACAAGTCTATAAGAAATGGCCATACTTACAAAATACAATCAAACTCACAAGGCATAATAGGCAATGGTGAATACAAGCCTATAAGAAATGACCATATTTACACGATATAGTCAAACTTACAAGGCATACTAGACAATGGTGAATACAAGCCTATAAGAAATGGCCATACTTACACGATCTAGTCAAACTAAGTTGTACTTACACGATATGGTTTGGCGCTATCCCGTTTCAGAGGATTCATATCGATGACTTGTTCAGAATATGGATCGAAGTATCTGCAGTTATCATCTCCACTGATATCTTTCTGGGCTTTCTCAATTTCTGCCTCGGAGCAGACATAGGCTGTGGGCCATAGGAACTGATAATTGCATCTGAGATCCATGTGTTCTTTTAGTAGGGGCACACCCTACGCAAATTCCATCAACCTCTATAATCACCAATTGGACTCCACAAAATTATTAAAGAGTTTAATGATTTTAATATAAAATAAGCATACATTGGATTATCAGAACATTCATCATGACTATTGAAAAATAATATATAGGATAGTATTAAATAAAAAAAAGAATCATCAATGTGTATATATAATTTTTTGCATTTTCTCTCTCTAGTTTTTAATGAAATGGCAACTTGAATTCTGTGACTTTTGTCCATACCAAAAAACAGCGATTAAACAGAGATGAAAAGATGAAAATTCACGACATTTTGCTTAAGATGTCAAATTCCCAATAAATGATAGGATTTTGTATCCTTAAAAATAATTTCTCTTGATATATCAAGAAAATGGGTTGGCCAAATATAAGGGAACAGGTTAAATCAATGTTTAGTTCGTTTCTTTTTCACTAGATGGCGTTCTGTCATCTAAAAAGCATATGTGCTCCTAGTCAGGATATGCCTTATTTATTTTTAATATATATGTGTGTGTGTGTGAAAAATAGAGAAAAATAGAAGAAAGGTTAGGTGTTGATATTAAAAATAAAAAGGCATATCCTGACCGATCACCTGAGCATTTTTAGATACTAGAGTGCCATCTAGTGGAACAAAAATCAACTAAACGTTGATTTTACTTGTTCCCAGATATTTGGCCAATCTATTTTCTTTCTTTTTTTTTTGCTTATCCCTAGTACACGTGGTACAGGCCATTAAATCATGGTGGGTAGAAGTAGGTGACTGCTTTTACCGTAAATGCACCACATGTCTACACATATTAATATATACTTTGGTACAAAAACAACTGTTTCCCAGTGTAATTAAAGAAAGATATGCATCTTTTGGTTTATATATGATATATTTGGATATTGTTCCTATCAAAACATAGCCTTTTTTGAAAAAAGTAGAGAATAAAAAATGTATAAACTCGATCATTCTTACCTTTCCAGACAAAGGATCGCATTTGAACTCAATACTAATAGAGTAGGTCGCATCAGGTTTGTAGATGCACTCCGTCTTGGATGTATATTCCAAAGTTGGGTTGGTAGCGTTGGAGATACTTCTGGAGGTATCCACAAGTCCAATGGTCTACACACAGTTTTACATTTAGTAAATAATCTACTTATAAACACCATAAACATAGTTTTGTCTACATAATGTCGGTGGGCGAGTGGGTAACACCCTCGATTCCCGACAGTCATGAACCGGATTGAATCCCGCGTTAAAATTTTGTTTAATATGTGAATAACTTTCACATTTTATTCACTGTTTCGATTATCATAACTAGGTTGCTCTTGTTGAGCGGTACCTATTAATGTGATTTTGAACTTGAACTTGAGTTTTGTCTATTCGGATGCTACACTATCTTGTGAACTCCACTTATTTGGAAAAAAAGGTAGATAATGTGTTTTTTATTTTATTACTATTTTACTTTAGTTTATATGTCTTCCCCTAATAATAGGAGAAGACCCATAAATAAATAAAAAAGACGCAAAAACTATACGCCATCTATTGACCGCCTCAGAAATCTAGGATACTTGAATTTGAATTTGAAAAAGATAGTGTTGTAACTTTGTAGCTTATAAGGCGACCAAGCCAAAGTCGTCAATTTAAAGAGAGTGATTGATTGAAAAATAAATATTTCACTCCTTACACACCAACAGTTTCCAAAGAGAAAATTTAGACTTTTCTGTGGAATATAGTTGTCTTTCGGTGGGTTGCCTAGATATTTTCACCGCTATACACTCATGGACCAA